ACCTGCTGGATATTTGGACCGTGTCATGACCCTCTCCTCTTTTTGGAAGTGTCTAATTACTGTCCCTTGCTGGCCCAGCTCCCCTGCCCCTCCCCATATGAAGCACTAATGCTGATCGGGGTGATTTGCATGATTTGCATGGCTCCGCCCACTCTCCTGAAATGCGTAACAAGGATGTGATGAAATGATACATTGTGAATACCTATTTGTGTCTGCTCCGCGGCTCGCGATATCCGCCCGCCGTTTGCACTGTATGCATGGAAAGCTCGGACCGGTGGATGCAGAGAACGCCGGCGGGACCCGCGGGGAGATGGCGTCTGCAGAAAGGCGGCTCGTTAATAAGAGTCTTGTCTGTGTCTGCGCATATTGCAGGTCCTGCGCCATCGATGAAAGATGTGACGTATAGAAGTTACAATGTATCACCGAAGGGATCCGAAACCGTCCCTCAAATGAACCCGTTTAATTGGCATCGTCCTCTCGCTCCTCGTCCAGATAAATAATAAAGTTTTCTCTTGTTGCGGGGAATGGCAGCCATGTTTCTCAGTCTGTGGCGAGGCGGCGCTCGTATTAATCACGTTTGTTGGGGGTTTTGCTGTTTGGCAGCGCTGGGGCCACCGGCCCTGGGAGAATCCGTCATTTGTTTTAATGAAGTGTTCCAGGCGGCGCGGGGGGAAGCTGATCCGTCACAATGTCACCGCCGCCGATTTCAATAATTCAATTTATTATTAAAGATAGCGAAGCGTCTTCCATCACCTTCCGCGGCGGAGACCATGTGACTCGGCGCCGGATAAAGAGCGCAGCACCTTGAGCAGATCTATTACAATCAAGCTTTGGACAAAGGGCACCCGGCTGCGGCTTTCTGCCCGTACCGGATGGTTGTGTCCCGGGGGCCCCGAGCAGCGGAGGGCGGCGGAAGCTGCAGATAAAGTGCAACTCTGGGCAAAATAAATGTGTTCAGTATTTCTCCATTTCTCCACACACACACATTCCTCCCATGCCCCCCGCCCCCCCCTCCCCCCTTCAAAAAGAAATCAAGTTGATCCTGCCAGAAATCCGGTAGTAAAATCCGGCGATCTCATGACTTCCTGTAGCGAAATCCAGCTGGCTCTTAACTTCCTGTAGTGAAATGTGAGATCTCATAACTTCCTGTACTGAAATCCGGTGAGCTCATGACTTCCTGTAGTAAGATCCGGCAAGCTCATGACTTCCTGTAGCGAAATCCGGCGAGGCTCATGACTTCCTGTAGTGAAATCCGGCGAGGCTCATGACTTCCTGTAGTGAAATCCGGCGAGCTCATGACTTCCTGTAGTGAAATCCGGCGAGCTCATGACTTCCTGTAGCGAGATCCGGCGATCTCATGACTTCCTGTAGCGAGATCCGGCAAGCTCATGACTTCCTGTAGCGAGATCCGGCAAGCTCATGACTTCCTGTAGTAAACCGACAACGCTCCCTTTGCTGTAGTGAAATCCCAAGCCGTGTTGTCAGCCCTGCCCAGGTCTCCTCTGCTTCATTACAGAACATCTTTCCATCTCCTTATACAGTAACATAAGGGGGGGTTGTTCTGTAGTCCAGTAGAAGAAAACTGGGTCGGGTTGACAACATGACTTTGGATTTTAGTGCCGCAAAGGAAGCGTTGTTACTCAGAAAGGAAGTTAGGAGCTTCTCGGATTTCTGGCAGGATTTTTTTGTACTTGCAGCGGTTTTAAAGTGACAAACCACGGAATGTGTTGCTGAGATTTGCGGAATGTTTTTTCCCCAGACTTGCACTTTAAGAGGCTCGAGAAGCTCAGCTTGGCCTCCATATTAAAGTCCGGGGGGATTATGGGGAATGTTTATAGGGCTATAACGCCTCCTGCACCGTCTGTGCTCAGCTGGTATTTATAACCAGTACATTCCAGTCCCGCCATTGATCGGTGGACGGGAGGTTTTCTCATCCCAGTAAGAGCCCATTACAGCTGGCGCGTTTCCAGAAGTGCGCGTGCCTGCGGGGCGATC